GCTGTTTTCTTCAGTAGTTGTGTAAGCGGACGGCTATGACTCCATAATGTCGGATAAAACACCTATAGTATCCTGTAAAACCAAGAAATCCTCTTACTTCCCTTACCAATTTAGGAATCAGCCAATTTACGAATGCAATAATTTTCTCGGGGTCCATCACCACTCTTTTTTCCGACATGACATGCCCCAAGTATTCCACTGAAGTGCAGCCAAAAGAGCATTTTTTTTTATGTTGGCTTTAAATTCATTTTCCTGCAAAATCGCTATAACAAGAGATAAGTCACCGAGATGGGCTTCCCACGATCGACTATATATAAGTATATCGTCAAAGAAAACCAAGACAAACTTCCGTAAGAGTGGCCGAAATAGATCATTCATGGTAGCCTGAAATGTTTCCGGAGCATTCATAAGGCCAAATGGCATGACTAGAAATTCATAATAGCCATTGTGTGTCCGAAATGCCGTCTTTGGTATATTGGATGGTGCAACTCGAATTTGGTGATAGCCCGAACGAAGTTCAATCTTTGACAAGACCACTGCACCCGTAAGCTCATCTAACATCTCTTGAATAACAAGAATCAAATATTTCCTTGGGATGGTAAGCTTGTTTAGTTCCCGGTAATCGATACAAAATCGCCAACTACCTTTTTTCTTCACGAGCAACACGGGGCTCGGGAATGGGCTTGAGCTTGGCCTTATGATGCCTGCGCACAACATATCTTCCACTAGTCTTTCAATTTCGTCCTTTTGCCCATGCCCATAACGGTAGGGACGAACTGAGATAGGCTTTGCTCTATTCTGCAAGATGATACGGTGGTCCACTGATCTGGTTGGATGGAGTTCCGTGGGCTCACCAAACACCTCTGCGTATGTCTTTAGCAAGGTTTCAAGGGCTGCATTGGTTTGAGAAGTTGCTGCACCCTCTTTCCGCAGCATCAAACACCATGCCGAGTCCACTACGATGGCACAAAATTCTAATTGGGTAGTGCGGAGCATGGATCGGATGGCTACCAGGGACCGGCTAAGAGCTGGATCTCGTTGTAAGGTGGTCGGCACTCCATCCACTTTGAAAGACATTGACATTGTATGCCAATTTACCCGCACATTCCCTAATGTCTCAAGCCATGCAACTCCCAAGATCACATCCACCCCACCCAAGGGGAAAGCATAACAATCAGCTTGGACTATGCATCCTTCCAAGGTAATCTGTAAGCCTGGGCATACTCCTCGTGTAACACCCCCAGTTGGCTCATACTGGAAATGCTACCGCCACACTGGATTATGAGGTCGTCACCTCCTACTTCGGGCCCCACAATACAGTGTTAAGGCTAAAATTAACCATAAAAACGCATTATTATATAACAAAATCTGATTTATGAATATTTACAAAACACACTCCTAAACAAGATGTTTTTCCGGTTAAAAATTTACATATAATACAATAGATGTAAGTTCACTCACTCAGCTCGTCTTTCTATATCCCAAGACGTCCCCTGTCCCGGAGGTGCTATGCATACCTAAACCAAATATTTTTCTTAAAAGCAGTCTAGAATTAAATCCATTTTAAGAACTAAAGTGAAATATGTCATGTCATACCTTTTAAAATAAAGTCTAATCTCCGTCAATCATAAAATAGGTGTCATGATATGCTAATAGTGAAATGATGCAACAAGGATATCAAACTTGACAACAATGCACATGCACATATATATACATCCGCCAAAGTGAGCAGCCGGAATAACCTCGGCTCCATAATAATAGGCTCACTGCATCTGTCTAAGTGAGCAGCCGGAATAACCTCGGCCTCATAATAACAAGCTCACTAAACCATCAACAATAAATAGCCGGAAAATCCTCAGCTCAAGGAAGGACTTGATAAACCCATAATAATTTAACAATCATCCGGTCACTTCCATATACCCACCATACGACTCCCACAATCAATACATGGATAGCCGAACGTTGTCGCCATTAACCACAAGACGCCTCATAGTCTGTGATAGCGAAGATAGGACCCCCACTGACTAGTCCTATCCCGTGTAATGTAGTAGAATCCGTGCAACTTGGAATCACTGAAGGGAAACCCGGAAACTCTACTCCTCACACACCCTAACGGGATCACGTTTGGAATTTGGCATATGATCCTAAACTATCGGTAGACCTCACTAGTAGTTACTCCAATGAGTGGAACAACACCAAACACGAATGATTAGACCAAATACGTCTAAACTAAAATGGGTCTAATCCCTGAATGACCGTGCGACTAAGTTATCCAGTTGTCCGATTACTATCGTCCACTATCGCCGAAGTGTTACGGTACATCGGGGTCGAATATCCTAACCCCAGATGATGCCCTCACCTAGCACTACCGCACACGACGACTAAACGATAGATCCATAAAACATATCCGATAAACCATGCAATATGTGTGCAGCATGTCAAATAAGTGAATTTATCGAAAAGGGCTGGTGAGACAGCTCACCTATCATCTTTTTCATAAATTCACCAACGCGATCAAATACGTATATCAAATATCATAAACCGTTAAGTCTCCCACATGCATACGCACACACATATATATATATAAAAATATATACATGCCCTGAAAAAATGAGTAACATAATATCACATTAACATATTAATCAGAATCGCATGCAAAATGCATACCTAATTTCTTAAAATTAGATTTAATTCCTTTCTACTTACCTTTTATCGACACTCTCTAACTTTTGCAATCTCACTATCTCCTCCAACGTACACTTGTCCCATTATTTACTCAAATTAGATGAGTTATATGTTTATTTATAGGATCTACCTACTTAATCAAAAGTTAATTTCTATAATTAGCTCGTCGAATTTCAAACTTTTATATTTAGCAGAATACAATATTCTAGTTATAAAACTCTTATACCTCATAATATTTATATCACCCGATTATTAAATAAAAATACTTAAAGATATGAATAAACAAGTAGGTGCAATACACTGCCGTTTCCAATTCGGCTCAGATATATATGAAATTCTCAAAATATAACGCTAGGATTACGAATATGCTATTAGCTAAAGATATTAGTCGATTAAATAGCTAAATAGCCAATTATGAATTTTTGAAGAATTTCTAATTTAATATCCTCAATATCTAAATTTATATTAAAATTCGTAATTAAACTCTACGTATAACAAAAAATACAATATCGAAGTCGAAATCAAAATTGAACGGTTAAATTTTTATTTTTTATTTTTTATTTTCTTCTTCCTCCTTTGTGCTCGTTCTTTCCTCCTTAGATGTCTGCTTCTTCCTTCTAATAAGATTTGTTTCATTTATATATATATAAAATTATATTATTATTATTATACATTATATTATATTATATTATATTATATTATCATTATTAACGTTGTTATTATTATTATTATTATTATTATTAAATTATATTATATTATATTTTATATTTATTTTTATCTTTATCGATATTTATCTTTTTAACAGTCTTTTCAATCATAATTAACATGTAAAATAGAAATAAAATTTATTTCGGAATATTTATTTGCTAAATAATATTATTTTATAAACTCCGAAATCGGGGCATTACACCTCGGCATTCCAAACGTCGCCCATCCCCTAGTGTGACTCCAAACTTGCCTGTAGGCTCTATCAATAATTCCATCTCTGTTACGATAGAATGCAAAATGAAATTGTTTGTTCCACTGTCGATCAGCACAATCACACTTTTATCCTGCAAAAGTCCCTTAATTTTCATAGTACGAGGTCCTGTAAATCCCGTCATCGAGTATAGAGGTAAATCTCCCAAGTTTGATTCATCTTGAGCTGCAGCCACCTCTTCGGGAACCATAGCTGCATCACCCTTCGTTTCCGGCAATTCTCCATCCCACAAATCTCCCTCCTCCATTAACAAAATTCTCAAATTGTTTGTGAGGGCACTCATGTAAAGCGTGACAAGGAAGATTACAACAAAAAGTAGAGGCCTTTAGCTCGCCTCTCATTGTATTCCTGTTGCGACAAACGACGAAAATGATTTTTTACTGTAGATTGACCCGTGGTTGTGGATTGATTCGATCCAGCCTTCGAGACAGTAGCACCTCATTTTTCTGGCAACCTTGAGTTAGTGCTCCTAGGTTGACCCCGTGTGGCTGTGGTGGCCGATCAGCTCTAGATCCCAAGTAAGCTCCTTGCGATTCCTGCAAATCCAATTCCACACTTCAACTCACTCGAATGGCTGTTTTCAAAGGCACGCAACTTATTGCGAAGAGGGCGTTGGAGGCCATTAAGGAAATACCCCAAGTAATGATCCTCGGCGAGTCCCAAGTAATGATCCTCAGCGAGTCCCGACACCTGATTCGCTAACTGTAGAAAGTTATTCACATAGGGATCCACCAGGCCAGTTTGTTTCATAGCCGCTAAGCGTTCAAAGGGGCTGCCAACATAGCGATAATCAAAACGGACCATCAAAGCTTGGGAAAATTCCACCCATGATGCATCGGAATGGCGCTCTCGATACCACTGGAACCAGTGCAGGGCTGATCCCTCCATCGCAACCATTGCCAAATGCACTCGTTGCAGACCCGTCATCCAATGTAATTCAAAAAGTTGTTCTGCTCGTGCAATCCACCCGATAGGCGGTGCCCATCAAAACTCGGTAAGGTGACATCAGAAAGGCGTCGTATAGGGGCTTGATTATCTCCAACTTCCTCTTGCTGCGGGAGTGTATTTGCAGCCCTTCCAATTGATGCGGTCACAGATGGGTCTAATGATCTTGTAGGGGCTCTTTGAAGGGCTTGAACAACCGCAAAGATTTCCGCAGTCTGTTTTTGTAGCGCTTCTTGCTGTGCTGCGACGGACACATTCAGTGCTTCCAGTTTCTGTCGAATGTCTCGCTGCTCCTCACGGACCACTCCCAATGTATTCTCTATTTCCACAATTTTCATCTCGACCAGATCCGGCAGGTCAGACCAATTTGATAGGAACAAGGACATAATTTAATAGAATTAAGAACCAATTTTATTACTCAAAAGAAGATTGATATCTTCTTCCTAGCCCTAACCGCTTACACTTCTTTTTTTCTGAATAAACTTCTCTAACCCCAATTCCATTTATTTATATCAACTTATAAATATAATTATAAAATAAGATAAGGATTAATTTGCAATGCAAATATATAGTAATTATGGTAATGCGGCGGTTAGACCAAAATGCCCTTTTCCGCATCCTGTATAAACACGCAGCGGTACCGGGCCATTGTTTCCGGTGCTTGGCGGTTGTTCCATATCACCGTACCTGTAACAAGAGAGATGAAGAGCTCAGTACAAAAACATAGCTGTAACATGAAAATGACATCATAAGCAGTTACAGAGCTTACTGTCACGAAGAGCATTGCCTTGCCACAATAATTTCTAATGCCTTTTTGGTCGATAGTCCACAAACGTGTATTGGTACTTCGAGTCACACAACCTCCAACTGTAGGTGAACAAAATTACACATTCCACTTTACAGTGAGATATGACTGCAAAATGCACTCTAATCCTTCACTTCATAAATGTAGTTGTTACAGTGAAAATGCAAATATTAATTCAACCACAAATTCTAATTTATACTTTAAAAAAATATTTCCTATAAGTTCTATATTTATATTATTCTAAATAAATTTTCATATTTATAAATTACATTCACTTTCAAACTTTGATTTTTTACATTAGTATCCAAAAATATAATTCATATCTTATTTTAAAATTATACATATTGAATTTATCATATATATTAATTATAAATACTACAAATAAAATAATTCTAAATAAGCAACTAAATTCTACCAAGACAAATATGATATAATGATTTTACAAAGATAAAATAATATTTTATAAGTTCATACGATATATTTAAGTAACAATGCTTGTATATATACTAATTTCAACAATGATATTTTTTTAATTATATAAGTTAAATATCAATATTAAAAAGATTTACAAAAGAATCATTTCCTAAAAAATAAAATCACAAATCACTTCTCAAAAAACACAAAATTACACAACACTTCCACTCCAAAAATGGAATAGTGCTAATTTGGAGCAACATTGTAGATAACTCCAAAAATAAAGTTGAAAATGGCTGCAATTTTAATCCAACCACATAATTAAGTGGATTGGAAATGGTCTAATGCTTGCAAAGGGTGTACTATAAGAAATGGACTTTGTGATGTTGGCACTAGTGTGAAAACAAAATACCAAAAATACTAGAATTGCACAAATTACTCACCCACAAACTCCATTGGATATACTCGATCGCGGGAACATTTCTTTGCAATAGTTACATCTTTATCTGGGTTGGACCCAACTGCATTTGATATTATATGCTGAGTTTAGTTGTCTCATTGAGTACCTGAAAAACAGTGTGTTACCATTCCAAAGGATATAAAACTACCTAACTGAACCATTGTTAAATAATATATATATATATATATATATATAATCTAGAGGAGAAGTACCTGTCTCTTGAAGGGAATTGAAGCAAGAACTCTCTCAGAAGCACTTTGCCTGTCTGTTGTAACTAAGACCAGATGGTCTCCACTATCATAAACATCTCTCACCTGCAATGTCCATTAGATCACCATTATAATTTACTGTGATGTGTGTAAATTTGTTAGTCGATGACGGTATTGCATCCACCACCTACAAAGCTGCCAACCAGCATACAAAATTCCAAGCAAAACAAGGTTAAGTGAGATAGCCTATTTGATACAAAATTTTCCAAATAAGAATGGATAATGAACACAGAGGTTACAGAGGGATGTGGTTGCTGCTTACCATTCCAAGTACAAAAAAAATAAAATAAAATTCTACTAGGTGATAGTGAAGTAAAATGATTTATAAATTGACCGACATATATTTTCAAATCTGCACTATTCATAATTATTAGAGAGATGAGGGGAGAGGGTTGTGTTCTCCAGAAATGCCAGGACAGCCAAGCCAGCGGCCCACACATCATCCTCTGATACATGCTCCTCCGGAGAATGACTGACCCCACCTCGGCAACGCACAAACAACATTGCCACCTAACCACCACCAAGTAAGTACTAACTGTGACTGCGAGAGAGCAAACCATTCATTCATTATTCGCAATGAGAAGAGACATGGACACGCACCTTTGTTAGTTTAGACATGGCCATTGCATCATGCCCTGCTCCGCTCATCAGCACTGGCACTGGCACTGCCGCTGCCACTTCATCAACAGCCCTGCTCTCCTCCTTCCCATTATCATCAATGACCCCCCATCTGCCTCCAGCTGCTGCCGCCGCCGACTTTAGCTTCAAACTCAATTCAGGGTCACACGCCGCTGCTTTTGCATCATGCTGAAACCCAACTCCCCATTAGAGGTTATTCAGAAATTTAATGGATCAAACTTTGTTACTCAAATCTCAATACCTTGCGCTCCACAAGGCACACAACTGACCGCTCCCCACATACTTGGTGTATCTTCCTTGACAGTTCATAGATAATAGCTTCTCGCCCTAAATCATCCATTGCTCGTATGTCCACTGTGAATGATACCTGCACACATAACAAAACTGAAGTCATTCATGATTACACCAGCAGGCAGACAAGTCCAGAATCAGGAACAGCAATATTACTTGCCTGTCCTGGAATAACATTACTTGCACTTGGCCAAGTCCATATTTCTCCCACAGTGCAAACAAGAGATCCTGAAAGAGACTGTACGGTGGACTCTAAACACTGGCCATCATAGGCCAAATAATCTTCTGGTTGCTTGCAAAGATTCTCCAATACTACCATCAATTCTGCAGCTGCAGCCATGGGATCCCTGCGCATTTTCATTGGAACTGTGCCAGCATGCCCTTGCTGGCCTTTAACTGTGACCTGCAAAAGGCAGTTAGCATCTAGAGTTATTTGACTGAAGAAGTATTGAGATGCACATTTACAAGATGTGATTGAAACACAGAGTCGATCATTAAATGATTTCTTAAGAACACACAATATTATTTCTAGGGATATGTAGCCTCAATCTAGATGGAGATAGCCAATCACTTGTTTCTGGTTATAATCTCATAGCTTAAAGTATAGCATATTTTCAATTGGCACCGCTAATGTTATGCCTTAACACAAAACAAAATTATGCCATGTTTATCATAATATGTAAATTGATGTGTGTAATTAGCATCTATTGACTTTGAGAAGGTGCTTGGGTTATTATATCAAATCCAAGACAATTCATATCGATTATGAAGCAAAATATAGTTTTGTTTGTCTAACCAAAATTTTTCTTGATAGTTCCCATATATATGGGTAAACTGTTTCTTTAGCTTTGATCCCTTTATCATTTTAGTCCTGTAATAAGAGTCTGTCGCAAACTAGTCCCGTAAGTGGAAAAATTTTGTACTTTTAATCTTCGGGGCCGGAGATGTCTGCGTGGCACCCGCGTGGCTCGTTGAAAAACACGTATTTTTTTTTTTAATTTATGTATTAAATATATAAATTTTTATAAACCTTAAAACTTAAACTCTAAACCCTTAATATATGTATTTAATACATAAATAAAAAAAATTAAAAAATCCACGTGTCCGCCGGGTATCGCTAACCTGGCGGACACGTGTTCTCTGGCGAGCCATGCGGGTGCCATGCAGACATCTCCGGCGTCAAAGGACTAAAAGTGCAAAATTTTTCCACTTACGAGACTAGTTTGCGACAGCCTCCACTAAAATAATAAAAAAGTCCAATTATAGAGTTTACTCTGATATATTTTATTTTCTCACAAAAAAGCAATATTCAACCCAAAATATTATTTTTATATCGACACAATTTCTCGTACTTTACATAAAATAAATAAATAAAAATAAAAATAAAAAAAAAACCTCAATACACAAATCCAATATTATTTAAAAATGAAACTAAACAGAAAGAAATGCCTAAAGGATATTCTCCATCACCAAGTCAAAAATTGAGATTCAAAAAACTCAATCCATAACTCCTAATCCTAGTGCACAACCCATAATAGCTTAACATTACGGATCCCATGTTATGGAGTTGGGTAAAGTCAAGGTCTATATTAGAAAAGGGAGAAGCACTGTAGTCACTTAAGATAAATATTATTTTATTCTTTATTATTTCTCTTATTATTTTATTTACTGTTTAATTGTTTATTATGAGTGTTAGGCTTGGGCGCATCTGGATCATGTTAGGTTAGGCGGTCATTATTTTGGGAGCCAATTGGTTTTCCTCTGTGGTACTTTATTTCCTTTGATTCGAATAAATTCTCACTTCGATAACCCTAAGTCATAACAATTGGTCCGACTTGCCGGATCTTCTGCTGACGGAATCATGCCATCTCCAATCAACAACGATTCAAGCTATTGGAAGCAACCGTTGGAGAAATACAGGAGAAGGCAAACCAGATCCGTCAGGATCTTTCCGCCAAGTTCGAGACTTTGGGAGAACAGAACACGAATCAGATGGTTCCGCTGCGGCAGGAGTTGCTCGCAGCAATCAAGGCAGCGGTTGGCGGCGTCAGCGGCGGCGCTGACGCAACTGTGTCAGTGGGTCAGCCACCGACTCAATTCCTGGCGCCCTCAGCGTCGCCGTCCATAGCGCAACATCCACTCGCATTGGATTCTCAACCGTTAGGGGGGTTGACCCCCCGCCATGGTAGTTTCGCCACCCCACTCCTCTCAGAAGTCAGATTACCACCGTTTGACGGGACGGAGCCTATTGGTTGGGTTGTTCGCGCTGAGCAACAGTTTGAACTCCACCAAGTGCGAACAGAACTCAAGGTAGCATCAGCGCCCATCGCCATGGAGGGTACAGCGCTGCACTGGTCTCGATGGCAACACTTTCGCCACCCAACTACCATTTAAGGCGGAGTTTTCCAAAGCCCTAGTACTTATCGTTACGTAGGGAGCCCCTACGAGCGCCTTGTCACACTTCGGAAAAAAGAAGGAGTTGATCAGTATATCAACGAGTTCATCCAACTGGCGATACAGGTGCTAGGCTTAACGGATGAGCATTACCTCGGATACTTCATGGGGGGATTGCAACAAAATACCCGCAATTGTCTGAGGACACTAGACCCCAAAGATTTAGACTCAGCTATCGAAATCAGCCGCAGCATTGAAGCTGGTTCTGTCACGACATATCAACAGCCTGGACAACCGCCTGGTCAATTTGCGAGTTCGTGCCTTAGCAGTGGAGCGCAAATTAGACCTCCGGTAGGTCCCTCTAGTCTTGAGAATGGCATCGGGAGCAGTACACCAAGCACGGACATCCAGTGGATACCCGGTGGCTTCGGACCAATCCTCCGTGCAACTTCCTTTCCGGAAACTGAGTCGTGAAGAGTATCGCGAATGTCAATCTATGCGACTTTTTACCGCTGTAAGGAGCCTTATACACCATTGCATAAGTGTGCGAGCAAGTCCCTTCGAACTTGTGTGGTGGACCCAAACACGAATTGGGTGGCCGAGCTCAAAGAGATAGACAAGGTCGAAGGGTGAACAAAAGATGAGGTCAGATCCACGGAGCTCGAACACATGGCGGTTGAGGGGACAAGCTCATCCCTCAGGTTTTGATACATTGGCGCAGACTAATGTACAAGGATTCGACTTAGGTTGATGAAGAGGAATTGCAATTGTTATGGAGTTGGTAAAGTCAGGGTCTATATTAGAAAATGAAGAAGCACCGTAGTCACTTAGGATAATTATTATTTTATTCTTTATTATTTTTCTTATTATTTTATTTACTGTTTAATTGTTGATTATGAGTCTTGGGCTTGGCACATATGTCCGCCTATATATAGGGCGCATCTAGGTCATGTTAGGTTAGGCAGTCACTTTTGGTTTTGGTTACAGAGCGAATTGGTTTTCCTCTATGGTACTCTATTTCCTTTGATTCGAATAAATTGTCTCTTCGATAACCCTAAGTCATAACATCCCATCAGAACTTTGAAGTTAAACAGAGTTGGGCAATAATAGTACTAGGATGAATGACCTCTTGGAAAGTCCTAAAAAACTCCTAATCCTAGTCACTTACATACAGCAAACCTAGGTACCTAATTGACCTTAAGTTTAACGGCTTAGCCTTTCTCCATAATGTTATTCACAGTAAGGGAAAAGTAGGATAAGCATGTCTTGAGCATAAATCCTGCCATGGAAGCAGATGATAGTGAATCTTGAAAGGTTAACTTACCTTCAAACGGGTCTGTCCTGCTATGCCTTTTACCACACCAAGAGGAAGCCCTAAAGTCTCAAGCACTGGCCCTTGTTCCATGTGAACCTGTATGCAAAAAATAAATCAGGAAAGCTCAACATATGCCTTTTTTTCACGCATTAAATATCAATCCCATATGATAAATTTCCTTGGTACCTCAATATAACCCCAGACAGTTTCAGGGTCATATTTAACCTCCAAAAGATTCTCCTCTGAAATTTCAATCGAGTTCTTTCTCAATGCACCTTGCACTGTGACACCACTGAGAATATCTATCATTTAGAGTGAGTGTCAAAAAATTAAAAAAAAACCTCTTATGTTGATAACGTGAACCTCTTATCGTGCACATGCAACACTGAAACAGGCAATACACCAGCAACTGCTGCACTTCCAAGGAAGGTAGATTGGAATCTAACACCTTCCTCATCACTGAATGCAATAACCTAAATTAAAAAAATAAATACAATAACCAAAATGATTTTAACACCGTACTATAAAGAGGTTTTCCACCTTCAAGGCCCCCACCATGTGTAGAAAAATCTCGTTTTTCTTGTGTACTATGTAAAACATAAGGCAACACCAGAAAGAGGAACAGTCTCATGAGTTACATGATGACGTTCTGTACAAATTTTATTACCTCTACCGGCCGTTTAAGTTTTTCCAGCATTCCGTTGATATTCAACACCTTTAATGCAGACAATGCAGTGATTATTCCCAGTGCACCATCAAAAATTCCAGCATCGACAACAGTATCCTATATAATAAAACAACCAAAGTTGGTTCTGAGTTAAAATAGCATCTTATACTTTTCTCCATTAGTTATTGAATACTTATATGTTTCATTAAATGAAATAAAGAGCACAGTTGCTTCACCAAATGAGAGCCTATTAACAGAGCTTTCTCACTTGGATTCAGCCCTTCAGATCGGCCATGTACATTTCCCATTCTGTCCACCCACCTATACCAATGAAAATATCAAGGTGTTATGAACATGTTAAATTACAAAGAGGTATTTCTTTCTATACTTACGTCTTTAAACCTGCATCCTCCATCCACGTACGAATAAGATTTCCAGCTCTGACAGAAGCCGGGGACTGGAAAACCCTTTCAAGATACCCTTCTGCATCACTCACCTGAAAAGTCAGGGTATTCTTACTGTTAAATATGAATCTTCAACTACAATGCAAATAACCTTATGCAAAATATAACAGCGATATTATTACAACTGACTAGAAAGAGAGTGAGAGTGAGCGTGAGAGATGAACAGAAAGCTTAATTCCCAAGAAACCTTATCAAGAGAAGTATAGCAAACTTTTATGTAAATCAGATAGCGTTTTAAATCTTGCACGATCAAGAAAATTTCACTCTCTTTACCTATTTGGGGAGAGAGAATTACATATATATACATATGTATATATAAAGAGAGAGAGAGATTATCACCTACCTTTCCAAGCTCGACAAGTCGAGCTACTGCTTCATCCTTTAGTATTTCTGGATGTAAACAGTTTATGCCTTCTGCATGTTGAATACATTAAATAGCTGAACAGATAAAATTGACCAAATCCACAGTGAAATTTTATGCCTAGGAATTATATAAAGACATCACATCATTGACATTGAGTGGCAATAAAGTGCACCTAGCCTAGCATATTGAGGCCCTTTGTTTGGCATTATTATGTTTTTCTTCCACTAAATATATTGCTAATAAAATATACGGTCCTACATTCATTGCATTAACATGTTATTCAGTCAATAGACGACAGGATACAGTTATGAATTAAGAAACAAGGTAAGGTGGTTGCACAAGTTCAATTCGAATTAAATCAAAATGGAAGCTATCAAACAAGATTATCTTGAACGGACTCGATTCGATTGAGATGGAAATCCAAACCAAGCCAAGACAGATAAATCACAAATTTAGCCGGAAAGTAGAAAATCAATATTTCTTGAAGTAGAATCCGAAAATAACAAGTGTAAATGAGATGATACATAAATAAGTAGAAAGTTGAAAATGGGAAAAAACACATTACCAGAGAATCCAGCATCAGCGGAGGAGGAGAAGGGGAGAAGGAGAAGAAAGAGAGCAGAGAGAAGGAAACTGAGAGGAGAGGGGAGTTGGCATTGAAGGTAGGCGTACGCCATACTTACTGGTAATACCAGGTAGAGGGAGAGGGAGAGGGAGAGGGAGGGAGAAGAGAGCCGTGACAGACTCGTACTCCTCTGCCTGCGTGAAGTGGAAATGGAAATGGCAATGGCATTGGCAAGTATGGCCAGGGAACTGCGGTGGTCCTAATCATTAACCCACTGTCTATTTATATTTATGTTTATTTTTTATAATGTACTTGCTCAATCTTTTGATAAAAGGATCTTTTAGTTAAAGAGCCCTATAAAGTAAATCAATAAATTATTAATACTAAATTACTCCCTCTGTCCCTCCATCGTCTGCTATAGTGTAATACAGTATTTTAGAACGGTGTAATTAGTAAATAATTAAAAATATATTAGTTAAAATAATTATTTATAATATAAATTATAATATAAATAATTATAAATTAAGATTAAGGTAACTAATTAGTTTAATTAAAATTTTAAAAAAATAGATTAAAAAATTTAAAATAGATTAAACTGTGTAATTATTTAAAAAAAAAATGACATGGAATGGAATGTGAGACTGACAGAAACTCACATGTTATTTGGGAATGAGGGAGTATAATACTATTTTATTAATTTTTATATATAGTTTGTTGGTATTTTAAAAATATAAATTAATAGTAATATATATAATATTAATACTAAATTATAATAATAATTTTATTAATTTTTATATATAGTTTGTTGGTATTTTAAAAAATATAAATTAATAGTAACATATATATATGTATACATTTTATTTTCTAAATTTAAAAGGTTTTGAATTTTGTATTAAATTAAAAAAAAATTAATATTTTGTTAATTAATAAAAGTAGCGTTTGTGATATTTTTGTATAAAACAATTGTAATAGTATTTTTGTAATTTAAGTAAAAAATTATAAATATTTTAATATTAGTGTATAATTTTTTTTTAATAAAAATGATAGTAGAAACTAATAGCAACAATACTTTAACTTGAGACCAAGAGAGTATGATTTAATATTTTTTTAAATATTTTTAGCATTAACATTTCAATGAAATATATAATATATCTATTATTTTGTATATAATAAAATTTTATATAATACAAATAATATATATATTTATAATTAATTTAAATTAGTTTTATAAAAAAAATAAGGAGTTTTAAATATATATATAAAAATATTTGTTTATTGAAAAGAGATATAAAAAAATTTATTTTGAGTGGATACCATATTTAAAAAAATTAAAAATTTAATTAAATTTATTTATATTTGTTAAATAGATTTAAAATGAATAAATTTATATATATATATATATATATAAAGGGATCGACGATAAAAAATGCTCAAGAATCGCAGAGAGATGAAGTAATGAGGGAAAAAAACTTGTTATTGCTCTCAACTTGATGATTCAAATAAGCACTACCACATATTTATACAAGTCCATTGTCAAATGGGCGGTCACAATTGAATCGATCCAATGGCTAGGATTATCTCCGAACCACCATCTCCTAACCCCCAACTACCATCTACCATCTACCACCTACCATCTACCAACACCCAACTACTCTATTAATGTACAAGTTCTAGTTTTATCCATAAGGTTCCGAACTATTCTAGATGAGCCTTCGGGTTTTGACACATTCTCTCGGTCATCTTTAGTCACGGACTCGTCATGGTCATTCTCCCCCATTTGATGAAGGCATTATCTTTAATGCCTTGAACTCATGCACCTACTCAAATTTTCAAAGTTTCTCTGTCGGCTCCCAACTCGTCTCGGCCCTTTGCAAGCCTCTTCATCTCACCAAGTACTCCGTCGAAGATAGACGGTTCTTGTGGCGCACTAGTCGATCCGCCAATATCTCTCCGGCTACTTTGTCGTAGGCAGTCCGTATCCCGGGTGGTGCTCTCGTCAATATATTTCGACTCGGGTCCCAATCATCCATGTAATAAGGCTTGAGAATACTAACATGTAATACCGGGTGAAGTTGGGACAAGCCTTCAGGTAGCTCCACCTTGTACGCCACCTCGCCTACTTTCTTCATGATCGGGAACGGGCCTTCGTATCGTCTCATCAGCCCCTTGTGCACTCCTCGTACAACGCCCATGTTGGTATAGTTTTACCAACACTAAGTCTCCCTTCTTGAATTCTTGAAACACCTGCTTCCGGTCCGCCCATTTTTTCATTCATCTTTGGAACTTCACCAAGTATAGTCGAGCCGCCTCCGCCTAATCTTGCCAACCCTTGGCAAAGTGGAATCTCGGTGGACTCAGTCTTTTATACGCCCCCACCAAGTCCTTTGGAGTCGTTGGTTGGAAACCGCATACGATCTCATTCGGATTCTTCCCGATGCTCTCGTTTTTCTGAAAATTAATACAAAATTGCGCCGCATCAAGTAATTTAGCCCAATCAAGCTAGTTTACCATTACATAGTGCCGTAAGTACACCTCCAAGACTTGATTGACTCACTCCGTTTGGCCATTGGTTTGTGGGTGCATGGTCGTGGACATCTTCAATTCCGACTCCAACAAAGAACACAACTCCGTCCAAAATTGCCTGGTAAATCTCGAGTCTCGATCACTCACAATACTCGTCGGTAAACCCCAATATTTAATGATGTGTTCCATAAAGAGTTTTTCTGTCACCTCCGCCGTACACTCCTTGGGTGCCAGGATGAACTCGGCATACTTCGAGAGCCGACCAACTACTACCAAAATGTTTGTGCATCCAATTAGATTTTGGCAAGCCGATGTTGTAGTCCATAGACATACTCTCCCTCATTCATCCCGAAATTGGAAAAGGTTAAAGCAACCCTACCTATGGTTGGTTCTCGATCTTTTCTTGTTGGCACATATGACACGTCCGGACGTACTTTTCCACATCTCACTTTATTCCGAGCCAATAGTACCTCTCACGTAACAAAGCCAAGGTTCGTTGCATGCATGGATGCCCCGCGTACTTAGTGTCATGACACTTCCGTAGGATGTCTCGCCTTAAGCTCCCCGCATCCGGCACATATATCCAGTATCCCTTCGTCATGACCAACCCATCCTCGAATGAGTATTTTGTTGTCTTTCTTTCATGAACCCACTCGAACATGGCATGTGCAAACTCGTCGTGCACAAGCCCTTCATGTATCCTATCCACAATATCAATGGATGGCTGCACCTTCTAACTCGAAGCGTCCGCCACTATGCTAGTCTTCCTGGCTCGGTACTCAAATTCGAACGTGAACTCTGCAAGAAAGTCGAGCCATCTTGCTTGTTTACCCTTCAAATTTTTTGAGAAAGTAACTTACCTTCCGATTATCTGTCACAATCATAAAAGGAATGCCCGCCTTGAGATAGTGTTCCCACACTCGCAAGCAATGTATGACCGCGAGCATCTCCTTCTCATGTATCAGCCATTGTCTCTCTATGTTCGACAATTTCTTGCTCTCGTATGCTACTGGGTGTCCTTTTGCATTAGCATCCCTCAAACGGCAAGGCTTGAGGCATCCTTCATTACCTCGAATGGTTTGGTAAAGTCAGGAAGTGCAAGTACCGGCTCCCTCCTCATTGCCTCCTTCAATGCATCAAAGGCCATTTGGCATTCCAACGCCGATTCTCACTTTTACTCATTTCGCAACATGTTCGTCAAGGGTACCACTATCTCCGAGTAGCCCTTTACAAATGGCCTATAATAATTAGTTAACCCAAGGAAAGATCGTACCTCTGTAGGTGACTTGGGCGCCTCCCACTCGATGATCGCCTTGATCTTTCCCGGCTCCATTCAAATCCTCATGTTGCCCACGATGTGCCTTAAGAATCCAACCTCGTTCATCCCAAATTCGCACTTGTCCATTCGGACATAAAGTTGATACTCTCGTAGGGCTCGGAACATGCTCTGTAAGTGTTTGACATGTTCCTCCATATCCCAACTATAGACGACGATGTCGTCCAAGTAAACCACCACAAAAGTCATCCAAAAAGTCTCGTAGCACTTATTGCATCAACGTACAAAATATTGCCGGGGCATTCATTAGTCCAAAAGACATAACTTTAAACTCGTATGACCCGTACCTTGTTGTGATCGCCATCTTTGGCTCATCGCCCTCCCGAATCTGGACTTGATAGTAACCCTTCCAAAGGTCAAGCTTCGATAGTACATTAGCCAGTTGCAAACGATCGAATAAGTCGGTAACAAGTGGCACCGGGTACTTGCTTCTCACCGTCAATTTGTTCAACACCCGATAATCATTACGCATGCAGAGACTCCTGTTCTTCTTCCGTTGGAAGAGCACCGGCGCACCAAAGGGGTTTTTTGATGGGATTATGAACTTCGCTTCCAATAGTTCTCTCAATTGTTTTCTTAATTCAGTCAACTTGTCGGGCGATATTCGGTACAACGGTCGCGATACCGGCTTTGCATCCTCCACCAAGTCGATGGCGTGGTCAACACTCATTAGGGTGGTAACCTCTTGGGCAACTCATCAGGCATCACGTCTTCAAATTCCTTGAGGACACATTCCAACTCCTTATGGGGTATAATGGCCTCCTTAACTTCATCACCCGGGAAGTCCTCGTCGCTAAGGATAGCCGTAAATGTTGGGTCTCCTTTCCTCAATCCTCTTTCGAGTTGCTTTGGCGTCAACTCCTCTCAGTACACGGTTATTTCGCAAGGTAGACTCCCCTCCATGATAGTGTATTTGTCTTCGTGTGGTATCATTGCTAACGTGGCTTGCTCGATGAACCTCATGCCAAAGAACACACAATAGTTGTCAATAGGCGCAACATTAAAATTAACCGTATCTTCCTAATCTCCAACTCGGATTGGCATATTCTTCACCATGCCCGACAAAGGAATCCATGCGCTATTCACTCCCTTGAATCAGCCATCCGATGACACCTATTGCAAACCCAACTCATGAGCTATTTCTTTGCTTATGTAATTCGCATTTGCCCCCGGGTCAAGTAGACAAAAGTACAAACATCCATTGATCTCGACATTCATGTACATCCGTCCTTGATGTTTTTTACCACCTTCCTCCGCTTTCATGCACGCCACTCGTTCTTCCGTCGGGTTAGTGTCCTCGGTCACCAAGGAAACGCTTGATCAGTTTGTACAATTCCTTACAAAATGTTCTTTTGAGTGAAAAATAAAACACCCTTCATACCTCGGCCC